TGGATGAGGCCGAGAAACAGGTTGTGACCTGGTGTGAAATGAAGTCACTTCCTGCTGGAGATACTGTGACTAGCCTCAATTTTTTTTTTTTTTTTCTTTTTAGAATTTCCATTAACAAGATGTTACATCATCAGTCGTCTCCAACCGATTAGTTAGAAAAGTTGTCAAGTTGTTGTCATTGTCGTTGTCTGTCATTATTGAAAAACTTTTCTGAACTAAAGTACAGACATGTCAGAAATTAAAAAGTCTCAGACCAACAGTGTTTCAGTTACGACTCTGTTCAACCCTGAACCACAGACACGACACGACACGACACGACACAGTGGCTGCTGTCGCTGCGGCTCAAACTTTGTTCCAGTGTGAACGGCGTTTAGCCGGTAATCAGTGATAATCTAAAGTATTCTGACATCATAATGGAACCAGGGTAACACACACACACACACACACACACACACAGCCCATTTCCTCGGCTGCTGCCAGACTGACTGCGTAACTAATCCTGGCTCCACAGTCGGTCATTATTCTCTCACTTCATACATGAACTCACTGGAACGAGTCATTTACTGTCACAGCACACGTCACACTTTAACAGCAGCGTGTGTGTGTGTGTGTGTGTGTCCTTGGCTGCCGTCTTGCCTTTGGTTGGCCCTGACACACGCCTTGGGCTCCCCCACTGTGGGCATCCCGACGGGGGTTCTCAATGCCAAGGTTGGCCCCCCACCGCGGACCCCGTTCCAAGAACCAATAGGACGTCCTTCAGCGATCGTCCACATCAATCAACACAGTCCCGTGAGTCTCGACATTCAAAGGCGTGCGATGGACCGCGAGACTTCAGATGTTCTTTGTTTTCTCTCCTCCCTCGTGTCCTTGACAAGGACGGATAATCAGACTAGGGTTTAGGATTTTTATTATAACAAAAATGTGTCATTTTTTTTCCTTTTTTTCTAACACGACACAAAGAAGGACCGTGGTGAATATTTGTCACGGTGACAGAGCATGTGTCGCCACAGCAGCACAGTCTGAAACTGGTGACAAACTACAAGACTGCAGTAAAAAAAAAAAAAAACAAAAAAAAAGTTAACGCCGCTCAGTACCGCAGTTGTACTCCTAACACCACCCAGCACTGCAGTTCTACTCCTAACGCCACTCAGTACCGCAGTTCTACTCCTAACGCCACTCAGTACCGCAGTTCTACTCCTAACACCACCCAGCACTGCAGTTCTACTCCGAACACCACTAGTCAAATCAGTAAAACTGTGAAGGTTTTTTGAAAACGTTCTATTGGTTTGGTTTCATTTTTTTTTTTTTTTGCAGTCTTGTAGTTTGTCACCAGTTTCAGACTGTGCTGCTGTGGCGACACATGCTCTGTCACCGTGACAAATATTCACCACGGTCCTTCTTTGTGTCGTGTTAGAAAAAAAGGAAAAAAATGACACATTTTTGTTATAACAAAAATGTGTCATTTTTTTCCTTTTTTTCTAACACGACACAAAGAAGGACCGTGGTGAATATTTGTCACGGTGACAGAGCATGTGTCGCCACAGCAGCACAGTCTGAAACTGGTGACAAACTACAAGACTGCAAAAAAAAAAAAAAATGAAACCAAACCAAAAGAACGTTTTCAAAAAAACCTTCACAGTTTTACTGATTTGACTAGTGGTGTTCGGAGTAGAACTGCAGTGCTGGGTGGTGTTAGGAGTAGAACTGCGGTACTGAGCGGCGTTTGGAGTAGAACTGCGGTACTGAGCGGCGTTAGGAGTAGTACTGCAGTACTGAGTAGTGTTAGGAGTAGAACTGCAGTACAGTCCCATCCTTCACGTCCAGATATGACATTTGTCTGTTTTCACTGCTGCCGTTCCACTGACGGATGAATGGACCGTGTGTGTGTGTGTGTGTGTGTGTTTGTCCGCGGTGACTCACATCACCACTGTCCATTGTTGGAGCCAGACAAAAGACAACTGCAGCTCAGCCGCCCATGATGATGGGACTAAGACAAAGATGGAGGAGAGTGGAGATAAGGCCGCGAAAAACAAGAGCGACGCAAACGTTGGCAGATCCAGACTCTTCAGTATCTGGATGTCCCAGGCGGACGTGGAACATGTTGCTGTATCAGACCTCTGTGTGTGTGTGTGTGTGTGTGTGTACAGGCCCCTATCCTCCTGTGTTTGATCAGCTGCAGCGGCCACATACTGTACAGTGTGAAACGGAGTGAAGTTGGAAGACGATGGTCCACACTGAGCTGAGATACAGCAGAACTCTGTGGCCCAGGACAGTGGTCTGGGTTTGTTCTCACAAACGTAGTGTCTCAGCAGGACGACCCTCCAAAAAAAACACACACACACACAGATTCAGACCAAACGTCAGATCCTGAAATCTTCCTGTTTTTATCCTTCAGATCTTTACAAACAGATTCTTCTCCTTCAACTTTCAACTGTTACCCTCCAGGGGTCGCTACAGCGGATCATCTGCCTCCATCTCACCCTATCCTCCGCCTCCTGTGCTTTGACTCCAACTATGTCCATATCCTCCTTCACAACGACTCTCCTCTTCATCTCTAACGTCCTGAGTCCGATACACATCTCTATAAATGACAATGATTAATATAAAAAATTAAAAAAATACCACACAACTCCCGCCTGACTACTGAGAGTTCATTTTTTGTTGGAAAAATCTGCTTTTAAAATAGCACAGTAGCCTTAATTTAATATGGATTCCAAAAAGTTTTAAACACTTGGCCAAGACTTTAGTTTTTAACCTGTTAAAATAAAGGGGGAAAAAAAACTAAAAAAAAAAGTTAAAAATCTAACTTCAAGTTTTTCTATTTTACTTCTTTGACAAAAAGTGTCAGAACATTTTTACAAGTAAAAAAAACTCAAACTTTTTTTTTCATCTTTGGATAGAAATGACTGTTATAGGTAGTTAGTTCCAACCAGTTCGTCACCATTAATGTTGTCATAACAGGACGTTATGATGAGGTAAGAATTCCCAAGAAGTAAGTCGTACTTTAAGGTGATGTACACACACACACACACACACACACACACACCCGCCCATGTTATTCTGATTTTGTAATAAAACGTGATTTTAACCACAGCAGAAACCAGAAATCTGTATTCCTGCTTCCTGGATGGAGCCAGGAGGAAATGACCTGTTGGTTTGGACCATTAGAACAGAGAAGCTGCTGAGTCACTGCATCAACCAGTCATTGGTGTCTGAGTGGGTGAAAAGACTGTCATCATGTCATCATCTGTTCATCTACACCAGAACAGAGTGAGCTCAGCTCCTGGACCAGAACAAACCAACCAACCCAACAACCAACCAACCAAC